TTGGAGATAGAGGTTTGACTTTTTGATGATTTGAATGATAGAAAATAAAGAGAGGAAGGAAAGAAGGAAGGAAGGAAGGAAGGAAAGAAGGAAAGAAGGAAGGGAGGGAGGGAGGAGGGGAGGGAGGAAGGGAGGGAGGAAGGAAGAGAGAAGGAGGGAGGGAGGGAGGGAGGGAGGGAGGGAGGAAAAAATACTATGGAACTAGGAAGCTTGAGGGGAGAGGTTGGCTTGAAAGTTTTGGGTGGGAATGATGAAAGGAGTGACATCAATCAAGAGGCCTTGTACTTATAAGTTGATTTGGTGAAGGGTAACTCCTTTGTACTACTACTTAATGATAATAAAATGTATTGTTTTTAGAAAGGAATGAAAGAGTAAAAGAGAGACAGAGAGAGAAACAGAGGAAGAAGAAAATTGAAAACAAGCAAACCATAAACTATTGCTTTACATCTAAATACTTCCTGTGTCAGGTTAAACAACTGGACCAATAAAGACCTTCACATCTGACTGTTTTCCAAGTCCCGTGTGACTTTTTTTTCTATGTGTACTTTGCTTATAGTATATATTAAAATAACTAGACCTTCCTTGCTTGAGGAAACAACATTTTAACTTGGGGAGTTAGAAAATAACAACAACTGCAATAGCATCAACAACCATCAGGACAACTGGAAGAACAAACCCCAGCAAGAACTGGGATTTCTCAGCTTTCTGTGGCTTACCATTGCAGGAAACTCTACTCATTATATTGCTTGCCACTCTTTGACTCCACGCCAGACTTTAGCCGGTAGGGTCAGAGCTTGCTGGGAGTATGCCACCACTACATTGTGTGTGCAGCCAGGGGATCAAAGCATTCTTCCTCCTTCCTCATCTACCTCTTCTCCCTCCTGCTTGTCTGCCTTCCTCCTACAGGGGGTCAGGCTGGCCACATTTGCACATCTCAGAGCATAGCCCTTTTATACAAAGTTTTCTTTGTTAATCAGGAGAAGTAAATGCAAATCCCCTCTGTGTACAATGAACAGCTTTGAGAGGAAGGTATGACAATGATATAATGACACAGTGAATTTTCAGGCGAGGAGGATCAAAATATCTTGGGTTTCTTTTGCAGACAGTTTCTGAGATCTCTCTCTCTCTCTCTCTCTCTCTCTCTGATGTGTATAGCATACATCTGTGCAGGCCTTCAGGTATGTGGGTGTTTGGTCCAAAGTCTTCTATAAAACAATAACACTGTTGTTGTAGAATGTCTACGTTCATGTCTGAATCATCCTTTATATTTGTTTGTGAAGCTGTACACTATGTAATCTGGGTACCTTCAGATGGTAAATGAACTTTAACATCTAACCTGAGCAGTTACTCTATGGCCCCCACGAGAGTCTGCCGGGCCACAAGGAGCCACATTCCTAGCATTTGTCATGAAGCCAAGGTGACCTGAAACCCAAGTCCTGCCCTCTAGGTTGTTTCTCTGAAAGATAAACAAGAACCCAGTGGCTATTCATTCCATCTTCTTATTTCCTGTTATTGCTTCTTGTACCAATCAAGCAATGGGTAATCTCTTACAGTACAGATAAATTCCAAGGTGGTCTTCTAAACAACCCAGTCATCTTAGGGCATGATTATACTGAAAGACCTTTTTGATTTTTTTTTTTTGTTTATTTAGGTACCGTACTATGTAGTTATTAAATGTTTCAAACCAAAAAAGGCTCAAGATGTAGAGTTCTGTGTTGTGTTTTACTTAATTTCTCCTTCTTTTGTTAGCATGGTAGCATAAAGAAGATGGTCGCTTTATTTGACCTCTTCTCCATGGGAATAGTAACTATAATGGGTTTAATTAACTATGTGGTATTGACATAATTAGTTATCCTGGTGATTATACTTCTTTAATAAAAGCACTTCATTTGAGATGCATCAGTGTTCTGCAGTGGCCGAACCTTACACCCATATTTCATAACTGTCTAGACACTGGAACTGTATGCATATTTTACCAACAGCCCTTGAGAGAGGTTATCTTGCATAGCTTAAGGTAATTGGGAACTAATGATTTTGCCCCCTGGTTTTAGACTGGAAGCAAAGAGCAGAGGCGCTGTGTGGTGGGGGGAGGGGCGGCCACTCATTTTGTGTAAACCAAAAGGGAGGGGGAAGGGCTGTGTTTTGGAAACCATATGCTCTTAGGAACTGTTTCTCTTTAAGCTAGCAATCAGAAAGACAGTAACACCAGAGGGAATTTGGGGGGGGGTGGTGTTTCATCTATGAGTGGACTGCATAAATACATTTAAATAATTGTACACAGTATATGGAGACATATGCTCATATTAACAAGAACCCTTGCCCCGACAGGTCTCTCAGCAAACATGCAGTCTGAGTTTTTTTTTTTAAGTCTGGAAAGTAGATCACTGCTTAAATTTGGTCAGCAGGTGACTGACCATGTCCCTTTTGCCTGGCTCAGTGGACAATGAAGTCAGACTGTATGACACAACCACCACCACAAAGGGTAACTAGAAAAGAAGACATATACAATGCAAAAATTAGCATATGAAAATGTCAATAATAATATGAGAACCTCCAAAGAAGAAGAGAACAAAAGCAAAGCAAAACAAAACAAAACAAGATTATTGAAGTCTGCCCAGGCAGACTGGTTGCACTGTTGCTGACTGGTTGCACTGTTGCTGACTGGTTACACTGTTGCTGACTGGTTGCACTGTTCAAACTTGGGTATTGGACAGGGTGGGGGAAGGGCCCAAGGAAGGGAGCAGAAGGGGAGCAGGAGAGAGGGGTTAGAAATCTAGCCAAAATAGATGCTGCTGAGAAATAATAGGTTCTGCAGACAGTCGCTTTTGCAGGGAGAAGGGCGATTTCTTTTCCTGTCTGCTCTATCTGATTCTCCTTCTTTATTCCAACTGTGCTTTTCCTGTCACCTCTCCTGAAGCTCTTCATCCTGCAGAGCCCGCAGCCTCCCCCCTGCAGCTCCCTGGCTGTCTATGGTCTCACTGTCCTAAGACCCCCCCCCCTCCCTCCCACCTCCATGGCTGCAGGCATTTGACTGCTTCAAGGGACACAGGAAGGAACACCATGGCTCATCCTAACAGCTGAAGTCCTCAACAAGCCCCAGTGCAAACCCACATGGAAAAGAAGTAGCTCAGCAGAGGTACCTGCCAACAAGACTGTTCATCTGCCATGATGGGTACTCCAGCAAAAACCTCCATCCCTCATTCAGTCAATAAAATCAAGTGTCCTTTATTGTAATCCTTAACACTGTAATCCAGTAGCAAGGAGGTGTGTGTGTGTGTGTGTGTGTGTGTGTGTGTGTGTGTGTGTGTGTGTGTGTGTGTGTGTGTGGTAGGGGTAAGGGGCAGGCTTTTTCATCTTATTGTTTCCAAACAGATCGTTTTGGTTGGAATTGACAAAGGGTTGATTCCTTTACCTTTGTGGAAATGTCAGTAAAAAGGCAGGTGCTGGGCATTCAGACTCTGGCTCAGTGGAAGAAGAAAAGGAGGGTGTGGGGTGGGGGGGGAGGGGTAGCGTGGGGGGTTGGGGCGAGCTCGGTGACAGGCTAACTACATGTGCCGAGGCTCCCTAAGACATTTTGTTTAGCCTGATATTGTGCAGCCGAGAGGAGAGAGGTGGAATCTATTGTGTGCCCGCTGCATGAATCACTGGATTGAAGTCTAACAGCCTCAGATCCTCTTTTATACAGTAGAGGAGAGATTAAAGCAGAGAGCTCATATGTCACAAAATAGAGGTACAATGCAGCTCTGGCTTGCTTAGTGCACTCAGCCAACATTTGATCCAAATTTAGCCAAAGGGAACGTGTGCTGCTGTCAGCCAAGGAGGTGACAAATGTTAGAATGTAATATCCCAAATTCCTTTTCTCCTTCCAAAAAATGTCATCTCTCCTTTGTTAGCTTCATTATGATTGAATCTATGTATAGTCACAGACCAACTGGGAAACCAACAAGAGCACCCAAACCCTGGCTAAATTATTCCAACACCTGCCTCTTCCTAAGCCGTGTAATTGATACAGAGCATAGGGAAGTTTTGCAGCAAGGGCTTCCAATCTCATTTGTTTAACAAGTATTTACTGAGTGCAATCGGAAGAACATTCTAGAAACTGAAAGGGATACATGAGAAGTCCCACGTACATTTTCTTGCTCTCCTAAAGTTTGTGGTCTCATTAAGGAGACAAAGAGAGATAAGGTAGACATATCCTTGCACACACATTCTTGGGGAGAAAATCCATATATATATATATATATATATATATATATCCATATATATAATTAAAGATGGAAGCAAAATGAGAAGTGCTATAGCCATCAGGAAATGTGAGTTTTGAGCCAACAATTTTTCTAAAACAGAATAAGGAGTGTTTGGAGCACTGAGTATTTATAGGAATCTTGTTTATGGATGAGGTCATGTGACCAGTTAGCTATCGCGTTGGTGATCATAGCCAATGTATAAGCAAGGGAGGTGAAACCCAGCTAGAGAAGCAACTTGTTCAGAGTCAGGCATTTAATAACAGGCAAGCCAGAAATTCAAATTCCTGAGCTATGGCTCTTCACCACATCTTCAATCTGCTGACAAAGGGTGAAGGGGAGGTGGGGAAGGGACCATCACCTGGCCCTTTTCCCTTTTGCTAACGGTTCTCCGTCTGTGTTCTCTGAAACTTCCAGGCTGGTATTTGTTATTGTTTCAACTGAATTATCAGCCACTTTCTGAGTAGTGAAGACTTCCTTCCCCGGACAGATTTTCATGGTCAAATCCGTGATACAACTTAATTTCCAGAAGGAATCATATTGGCAGATTGTCTAAGGTCAAATAGGTTCTTGGCTGTATATAGGAGACACTGCTCTGTTTCTGAGGCCTGGCCCAGCCTTCATTCTTGAAACTCCCAATGCTTGTCTCAGTTCCACAAGATTACCACCCCCTTGAGACATGCCGAGCTCCTGCTTAGCTCCCCACACCTCGCACACTCTTCTACCTGTTTCGTTTTTCACTTTGTAGAGGAAATTTAAAGGAAAGACCATGCAAACCCTGGCCATCTGCGGTGGTAGGGGCTCCAATTACAGCGAGCAGTCACATCTGCTCGCTGACTGTGCTAATCAACTCTTTTGGAGCCTCTCAGGACCAATGCAAGCAGCCTTTCTTTTTAAGTCCTCAGTGCAATTGGTAAATGATCTCACCCTATATCTTACTGAGAACATTGACATCATCTGACATGCTACACCTCATTTCACCTCGCTAATAACTTCTGACTCCTCTCTGTACTTCCTGAGCTCCTTGTCCATTTGCCAGAATGGCTCCTTGCTGGCTTTCCCATAGGAAGAGATATGCTTACTTGAGGGTTTCTTTTGGAGTTTATGTCCTTATTAGTTCCCAGGATGTCCCCTCTATTCCATCTCAGAAATCTCAAGAATCCATAGTTTACCACCATGTTCTTCAGTCCAAATCTGAACTCAGAAGAATCTAATAAACAGGGAACTGTAAAACACTCTTTAAAAATGTTTAAAAGGCTCAATACGTTATTTTCTCAGTACAAGAGCTTCATTTATTTATGTTTTTTAATAGGAGAAAGAATCCAGATGCCAGAGGAACACACTCATAATTGTGGGATACCAGGCACTGTTGAAAAAGACTAATGTATTTGGGGAACATGAGTCTTGAAATCACATTCCTAAGGTAATTGGCCTCCAGCTCTGTCTATGTATAGACAGCCTTGCTCTAATGACCACTCAGAGCTTAATGTTGCCTGAAGCACTCCCTCTGCCCCAGGGCTTAGGTCAGGACATACCCGCCTCCTGTCTCTCTTGCCTGTTCTCTATTTTGTTCCACCTCCAGTTCTTTACTCTGCATGAATATCTTCCCTTTGTCTTTCCTAGAGAATACTCAAACTCAGTCAAGTTGCTAATCCTCATTTTACTCTGGTGCCATCTCTAATCTCTCCATTCTGTGGCCCACACTTTCAAAGTCCAGTTCCACAGGCTCTCAATCTCCATTTCTTGTCTTTATAAATGGATTACCAGTGGCTTAACATCTATAATCCTTGCTACTCAGGAGACTGGCATCTGAGGATTGAGGTTTGAAGCCAGTCTTGAACAGGACAGTCTGTGCAACCCAAAAGCCAAAGTAGAGCTGTGGCTCAAGTGGTAGAGGACCACTTGAGTGGAAATGCCAAATGACAGTACCCAGGCCCTGAATTTCAGCCTCAGTTTTAGGCTCCCATACTAAGTTCAAATTGACAAAACTTGAAATGATCAACTAAATCCTTTTCTTCTTGATTTCTCCTTCTTTTGTTTTCAATACTAGGATTTGAACTTTTACTTACTAGACTGGTACTCTTGCAATAGAGCCAAACTATCAGCCCTTCTGCAATATCTTATAAAATTATTTTCTAGCAATCTTTTCCTCTAGAATAATTATTCTCAGTTCTATCAGATTTTCAATATATTTTTAAAACCAAGTAATTGTCTTACTGCCTTAATGTGATAAAGTGAATTGTAATAAATGTTTCCTCCTAACAACTTTTAATAACTCACCATATTGCCTTAGCTGTAAGTAAATGAGAGTTAAAATTATTTATAATAAAATAACATACATCTATATTTACAACCACACTGAGGTGTAATATACAATTGTAATATACAATCACACTGAGCCACAATTTTGTTTCTGGCTTTTTTGATGGTTAATTGGAGATAAGAGTCTCCCTGACTTTCTTGCTTAGGCTGGCTTTGAATTGTGATCCTCACTTCTTGAGTAGCTAGAATTACAAGCAAAAGCCATAGCACCTGACATCAATTTGTAGTTTTGAGAAATGTCATTTAAACTTTTGTGAGCTGAGGCTCACAGTTCAAAGCTAGCTGAGGCTGTAAAGCCCATGAGACTATTTCCAATTAACTAGGGAAAAAACTAGAGGTGTAGTCAATCCCTACAAAATGGACTGCATTGATTGGGTAGAACTATTCAGGAAATCTAAACATGTTATATCTTATATTTATCTTCTTATTACTGAGATTTGTGAGTATTTTTTTATTGTGAAAATACTGTACAGAGGGGTTACAATTACATGGGCAAGATAATGAGTACATTTCTTATCAAGCATTGTAGCCTCCTCCTTTGTTTCCCCTTCCCATCCCTTCCCAACCTCCCCCTGCCCCCCCACCCAATCCTTCCCGCTCCCCCTCCTCCCTGCCCCCCCCCCCCAGTTACCCGCACCAAAGTTGTAAAGTTCGTTTTCAACATAACGAATGGTACATCTCATTGTTGCAATGGGTCCACCTGTATCCCTATTTAAACGATTTGTTTTTCCCCTTGTATGTCCCTCTCCCACAGTATAACCCCTGCTTTCACTATATTTGATGTCGATATAATTTGTGGAGATTTGTGAGTTTTTTATATATACTTTATATATATTTGTATATGCTTTACTTTATAAATCACTTATATTTGAAAAGCTTTTGACCAAACCTATGACATGTTTTATCTTTTCATAACAATATCTTAGAAGGAGCTAATTTTATTTATATTGATATTGATATTTTATAATTGGTCTTCCTTTTTTTTTTTTTTTTTTTTTGTCCAGTCGTGGAGCTTGAACTCTGGGCCTGGGCGCTGTCCCTGAGCATTTCAGCTCAAGGCTAGCGCTCTACCACTTGACCCATAGCACCACTTCTGATCTTCTAGTGGTTTATTGGAGATGAGTCTATGAAGTTTCCTCCTCGGGCTGGCTCTGAACCAGACCGATCTTAGTTCAGATCTTAGCCTTCTGAATAGCTAGAATTACAGTTGTGAGCCACTGGCACGTGGCTTGTTTTCCTTTTTTATGCTTCATGTTTTTAATATCTTATTATGCCATTTACCCATTCAAGATTACAAAAAGTTTTCTTCTATACTTTGTTTCTAGGCATTTTGTAGTTTTCATTCTCACAGCCTTATTATCCTCTTCCTCCAGTTTTCTTTTTGTACTGGTACATGCTGGAGGTTGAAATCAGGGCCTTATACTCTTGCATGCCTTTTTTGTTGATGGCTGGTGCTCTATCACACAAGTCACACCTCCAGTCAAGTAACTTTTGCTGGTTAATTGGAAATAAAGTCACTCTGTGCTGTCTATAAACTGTGATCCTCAGATCTCAGTCATCTGAGTAGCATGAGCTACCAGTGCTCAACTATCACTTGTTCACTTGAGTTTGTTTTTGTGTCTGATGTGGTTAAGGATTGAAGTTCTCATGTGTGTGTGTTTGCATAGCTATCTATTACAGCATTGTCTCTCATAAAGATTCTTCTTTACCACATTGACTTTCCTTGGCATGCTTGTAAATAGTCAATGGACTGTAGTCAATGGACTATAAATGTGGATCTATTTTTGACTCTTTAGTTTCACTGACTTTTGAATCTCCCAATTTTATTCTTGCAGTTGAATTTTAGAACTGACTTGCTAATCGCTACCAAATAGACTATATTGGATTGTATAGAACTATCCAGAGAATCCTAACAAATGATAAGCTATAATTTTTCAACGTATGAGTATTTTATAAATTTTTTCTCTCATCAAATTTCAGTATGCAGATTATACATATATTTGGGCAAATTTATTCTTAAATATTCATGATGTTGGATGCTACTATAGGTAGTTCTTTTTTCAAAATTCTGATTTCAAATTGCTGTTTGTCTCTCTATATAATTAATTTTGGTGTTTTTAAAAAATTTTGGTTATGGGGCACTCTCTGTTTCTGAGCTTTCTTTGGACAAGGCTAACAATCTACCACTTTGAGCCACAGCACCATTTCTTGTTTTCTGATGGCTAATTGAAGATAGAGTCTCACAGACTTTCCTTCCTGGGGTGGCATTGAACTGTGATCCTCAGATCTCAGCCTCCTGAATAGTTAGGAGTGTAGGTATGAGCCACCAGTGCCTGGATATTGTATTTATTTATTTGCTGCAGGAACTTTTTCAAAAACAGAATCCTTAGAATTTCTTAGGTAAACTATGCCACTTATGAATTAAAACAGCCTTGTTTATTTCTTTTCAATATGTAGGCATTTAATTTTCTTACTTTATTGCATTGGCTAAGATCTCTAATTCTGAATGTCAAGGAGATAATTTGATAGCAAACTTGGTTTTGTTTCTGGCAATGGGAGGAAAGCGTCCCTATTTTTGCTATTCACTGTAATTTACCCACAGGCTTTTCAGAGAGGTCACTAGTTAGACTGAATAATAGCATAACAGATGGCTTTTAAATTATGAAAGTTTCATCAACTGCTTTTTCTGTATTGAGATGATTATATAGTTTTATTATTCTTTTTATGTATTTTTGGTCTCAATTTGCTGAAACCTTCTTAAAGTTTTTTTTCATATATGTTCTTCAGGAAAATTGGCCTAAAGTGTTCTTTCTTCCTAATATCTTATTATGATGTTGGTTTCAGTAAAGCATAATATGCTGAAACTGTATAAACCATCCTCATAAAATAGAACTGTTTCCTGTTCTGTTTTCTGAAAGGATTTATATAAAATTGACATGAGTTTTTTCCCCCCTAAATGTCTGACCCAATTCAACAGCTAAAATATGTAGGACCAGTGTTTTATTTTTTGGAAGGCTATAAACTAGGAATTTAATTTTTTTTAAAAGATATTGCTATTATGCACATGATTGATTTCATATTTTTCTTCTCAAATGAGTTTTGGCAGTTTGTATCTTTTAATAATTCTTTCCATCTATTTGTTTGACATAGTTCATAATATTCTGATACTATAATTTTCACATTTTTAACTACTTGTAATGCTGGGGATTGAGACCAGAGCTTTGATGTGATAATCATATAGTTGACAAATTAGCAATATACCTGGGCTAAGATTATTAATTAGTATAGATATTCTTAAATATATAAATTCATTTATTGCATTTGGTTTTATTTACCCTTTACAATTGTTTACCTTTTCTAATGCTTTCAATCATTCGTTTTGTGGAAATATGTTAATAAGCTTTTCTATATAGTTATCTTTTTCTTTCTTGGTGTCCATTGAACTTTTTGGGTTTGTGTGTTTGCATAGGTTATCATTTTCATGAATTTATAAAAATTTGGCCATTGAAATATTTTTCAATGATTTTTTTCTTTGTTTCTGGTAGACTATAGTAGGTATGTTCCTGTTCTTGGTATTGTACCTGTAAGTTGCAAAAACTCTCTTCTGTTTCTCTGTCTTTCTCTCTCTTTCACCAACACTAAGATTTGAACCTAGGCCTTCATAGTTGCTACGCTGGGGTGCCTGCTCAGCTGGCACGCTACTACCAGCTCAGGTTTTGCTGGTTATTTTGGAGATGTGGTCTCATAGACTTTTTGCCTGGGCAGACCCAGAACTTCAGTCCTCTAGATGTCAGTCTCCTGAGTAACTAGGATTAAAGGAGTGAACCACTAGCACCCAACTCTGCTTAGAAGGTTTGGGATACTGGACCTTACATTCACTAAGTGAACACTCTCCGACTTGAGGCATGTACCTAATCCAGACTGTATCTTGCTTTGTCCATGGGTGGCTTGGATCATGATCCTTCTATTATGCCTCCTGCATAATTGGAGTTACAAGAATATGTCACTATACCCAACTTGGTTTTTTTTTTTTTTTTAAGATAATGTTTCACTAACAGTTTTGCTTAGGCTGGCTTCCACCTGTGTAATCCTCCTATCTAT